TACATATAATATATTTTTATATATATGTTATAAATGTGTAATATTATGTGCAATATATTATATTATTTTCCTAGTAGTCTAGAAATCGACTGGATTTCACTGATAGACTGCGAAGTTTTACCATCTGTATGCCTTTATAGAACCTTATTGCAGGGAGGCAAGAGGTTAAGCACTAAGGCTGAAAGAATCTTTTAGTGAAATCCAGCTAACAGCATTGTATGTCTTCTTTAGAGCAATCGTGCATCTTTTGAGAAAGTCAAATATCAGAAGGTATGGAAAGGAACCTCTAAGAGGTTCAGTGAGTTATGTAACTCATCCCTGTTCACCTGCTGTACCGGATTCACGTGATGCGCCCAGGCTTAGCTGATTGGATTTGTCCTTATGCAAAGCGGATGGCAAACACGACCACCATCACCTTGACGTGATGTGAATTAACTAGGTGCTGGGAACTTGCCTCTCCCTACAGGATCGAGCAAAAAGGAAGCCATTCTGAAAAACAGAGTGCTGAGGAAAAGCCAACGCGATAACCTCCCAACCTGTGCCGGGACAAATGGCTCAGGAACCAGGTCCAGTGCTGAGCTCTGGGGAAAAAGGGGCAAGGAGCTGAGCTGTGCTGCCCCATTAGGGAGCTATCTGAACCCAAAGTGCTGCAAACGAAGAGTTCAGGGCATTAGGGCTTGACAAGTATTTCCTGCCTTCAAAGACCACAAACCCCTTTGGTTTGGGTTGATTTCACGGCAAGGGAATTAAGAACTACAGTAAAGAAGTTAATCAGATAATCTTATCTGTATGTATACCACATGTACAATATGACAGTGAATTTACATTAAAATAAATTACATATTTTCAACTAATCCCAGAGATTTGGGTTGGTGTTGTTTGTTCCATTCTAGAGTTTACTGATAAGTCCCAGCTCCAGAAAATCTCTAAATACATACTTAAAGCCAGGCTTACTCCAGATATTTTTTTAAGATGTATGGTACTTATGCATGCACCTGTGGTACCCTAAATAAGAACATCTTTCCACATGGAGGACAAAACAAAGGAAAGTCAGATAATGTAACTTACATGATCACACAGTGCAAGTTTTAAGTCCAAGCGGATGGGGATTTCTGGTTTGGAAATATGCAAGTAATTATAACCTCCAGGAAGAACACCTCCTGCCATAAACGAGATTTATTAAATCATAAACAAAGAAGAAAATGAAATATTTGTTTGCCCTCCTTCTCCCACAATCCTTTTCTCTTTGTCGTTTATTAAATGGTTCTAAAAAGAAAACATGGAACTTATTTTGGTTTCACTGGAAACACTTCATATTTACTGCAATATAAATGAAAGCACACCTTGGTCTGTTATTAGCAAAAATCTACAGTGTATTGAACTCGCCTCTCTCCACTGGATACGTAAGGAGCTTTGAGGACTTTGCTGCCATTAGATGGCATCTTAGGTGAGCTGGACCTGCCCTCACTATATCACAGCAAAACACCAAAGAGGGCGTGAAAGTATGACAGAAATCCATTTTGACATACCTTGAATTGTACAGCCTGTGTACATGGGGATGAGTCTATCTGTGGCTTCTGGGGGCTTAGAAAAGGGCTTGGGGGTTGGATCAAGGAGATTCACCATAGATGCGGCAAGCTCAAAGCCGATCTCTTTCGAATTGAAGTTGCTGTGTGTCCATTCCTCTGCATAGTATCTCCTGGAGTACTTTGTTAAAGGACCTGCAGCCCTGATACTGACATCATTGGTACAGAATTCCATATCAATCACAAGCCTTCCATCAAAAACAAGGCAAGCATCGTTAATTGCCTTGAAGGTTTCATAATCCACTGTCCTGTAGGCAAAGCTAAAAAACGCCTAAAAAAAGAGATGTAAACAAGTGTAGGTTTTATGTATTAGTTACTGGCTACTTTCATAAATAAAAACCTATGCTTTGTTCTGAATGTTACCTGTTTTATAAAACAAGAACATGCAATAAAGTATGATTTTATAGACACAGACAAATCCTTCTGTTCCAGTACCTATAGCTACTAAAATTAAAACAAAAACAGTAGAGAGAAGAATTACTGAACTAGACTCATCTACTTCTGGTTATTAGATGAGTTTTTCTTTTAAAAACTCTAACATTAACTATGTCAAATAGCCTGAGTCGATATGCGTATTTTCTGTGATAGTATGAACATATGAAAGAGACTTGAATCCTTTATGAAGGTGGTTCTCTTCTTTCAAATCTCAAGCCAGACTGAAAAACCACGTAATAGAAAAAAGTACAATGTACTTTGCATTTTAGCAGGATAACTGCGTATTACAAATATTTTTCCAACTGTTGTGCCTGTTTACCAACAAACTATGTTACTATGGCTACCAGCACAGGGATATTCAATAAAAGGGAAAGACAGGAAATTAAAATTGTTCAGAGGAAACGTCATCCTCATTCAAACTACAATAGTAGAACTAAAGCCAGTGGAAGGTGTGGAGGCCAAGAAGTTAGCGAGAGATACAAAAGGACTGAATATTTACATGAAAAGGAACGCATTCAGATTTATTATCCTTGATAGTGAGACAGATTTTGGAAAGCATACCCAAACTTAGGACTGGAACACATCTCTAGCTATTCCAGATCTGGATAAGACTTGCTTCAGGAGGCAGACTCATCCACACCTCCTCAGTGCGCTGCAGCGGCTGGGCTGGCCGCTCTCGGAGCAGGACACAGGTCTGGATGGACACCAGATCCAGCTGGATCCTCAGGTCAGCCCAGGGGAGGTCAGGGCTCAAGTGAAGTACTTGGTACACCTGGCAGCCAGGTACCGGATCTGGTAACCAGCACAGCACATACCTGTTCACTATGTTTTGGTTTGCAGGACTGAAAAAAGATGTGACTTCCATTCTTTGAAAACACTGCCTGTGCTGTCTTTACCCCTCCTTACAGAACTGACCCCGAGGCAGGGATTTATCTTGGGACCAGCATCTACTGAAGCCATGAGCTCGTCTTTCCCGCAGGAAGATTTCAAGGGCATTGAAAGAAAATCACCCTAAGTCCTGAAATTCCTCCTCTAAGTCCCAAAGAAAAGAAGCTAGTGATAATTCCTTTCTTTTGTCTTCTTGTGGCACCTGCATAGTCCCTCTCCTGGGACACGAGGATGCAGATCAGACCTCATCTCCCCAAAATAGGAGCTGAGGCAGCACCACCATGACAAGCGCTACAAAGCAGGTGGTGCTGGAAGCGGCCACCGATTTGTCCTACGCATTAGGCATTGGTGTGGAACAGATGTGCACACAGCACGTCATAAAAAATGTGCCGGATGCCTGAAGAGCCGCTTTGAAATCCAGCGCAGCGCCAGAGCGAGGACTGCAGGGTCCTGCCACAGCCCTTGCCTTTTGTCTGCAGGCTCTGCACAGGCTCTGCGCAGTGATGAGCCAAGAGGAGCTTCTGAACTGATTTAGAATCATGCACATCTTGCATTTCTCTTGATATGTGTTTTGATATGTGTTTTATCTGTTTTCCTACATTGCCTAGAAGTAACTTTAAAGAGGCAAAAGCCCATCTCTGAAATCTGGAACCAAAAACATGCTCGCAAAGGGCAAAAGTGCCTGTTCAGATGAAGCTGAGAGGGGTGCTGGGAAGTTAACACCCACATCACCTGGAGGCATCTCAGCTCTGAAACACGAGAAATGAGGAGGAGGTAAGCGAGGCTGGGTCACTCCAGCCTGGAGCCGGGGGGCACACGCACAGAACAGCCCCTGACCCAGGCCCTCACCTCCATCAGAGCTAGACAAGTTGAATGTTGCTGCCCACCGTCAAGAAATATTACTGTATAGGCTGAGGAAAGGGTGAGAAGTTATCAGACGAGCATGTGTTATCTTGCTGCCTTCATCTGGAACATCCTGAGACGTAACTGTATCAGAGCAAAGCAGCACCGGTAATAGGTCCTTCCCTTAGTGTCAGCCTCAGGGAGGACACGGTTGTGACCTGGGTAAAGGTACTACCTGATTATAGCACCAAAGAGCTTTCCTGGGGACCAAGGGCAAGTGTCAGATGCTCACCATCAGCTGGACGAGCCAGCCAGAAGAAAAGGCACAGGAGAGGGAAACAAAGGGAGCTGGAAATTTTAGCAACACCAGTACAGCAGAGATGCAGCACCAGAGGAGCCAGAGCCTCTGGGTTTGTTCGTGTATCAGGGAAGCTCTGCCCATGAGGGCAAGGGGACCACACAGCCCCACATCCTGCCGGCTGACAGGCAGGACAGTGTCACCGGAGGGGAGGGGACGGCTGCAACCTCCAGGCTGGGAGCCATCTGTCAGCCCAGGAGGGGAGGAAGGGAGGCTGCTGCTTTAGGGAGAGAGGAGATTTTCTCCCGTTGTTTTTATCCTGCAGGACTCAACAAATTAAGCCCCCAAGAACTGCCAATCAACAGTTGATATTGGCTCAAATCCCAAAAGGCCCAGAGCTGCTGCAGTGCCGATTCCTGCACAGCCTGTTCCCCTGCGACAGCAGCTGCCTTCCTGGCAAAGGCTGCTCTCCGGAGCAATGTCCTCCTCTGAGCCCATCCTCCCGGGCAGCTAAAAGCAGATCCAGGAGCCACGCAAGACAGCTGAACCGGATTTGGAGAATATAAAGCCCCTGACATCACGTGTAAAAGCACATCTCTCATCTTAGAGGCTGGGTAAGAGACACCTCGAGAGGAAAGAACCGTAGCTGGACGAAGGACGGGCACAGGGCAGGGGCACAAAAGGGCAAGAGAAACAAACCACCGGGACACAGGGGTCTTGAAGGAGTGGTGCAGGCCACACGGGCAAGGTGGCGGGGGGCAAGGGGGGCTGATGGGGAGGTGGTGAATGGATATTAAGTTGGAAGAACAAGAACCACACTGAGATGTCTGTGGAAAAAGGGAGGAAAGAGGAGAAAGTCTGAAGAGCTGCAGATGAAGAGAGAGTGGGAGGAATGTCATGACTGATATGGCGACCAAAGTCAGGAGACTGCTAGTGGATAAAAGTGCTACACAAGGTCTGCACCTCCATCAGGAAGGGCTTAACTATCCATATGCTAAAAATGAGAGGGTTGGGAAAACCCTGTCACTTACGAGTTTTCCAGTGCAGGGGAGCCAGCAGGGACCACTGACTCCCGGGGAGCTCCCCAGGGGAGGCACACGGCTCTTCCTTTCCAGAATTACAACAGACCTGCTGCACAAAGAAGCGCGCCCACAGCGGGGTGTGTGGAGGGGGGTACAGCTTCCTACAGATGCATATTTTGAAGTGACTTTACTGGAAGTGCTCACTCACATGGATTAGCCCAATAAAGAAAAACAGAACTATTCTGC